AAAAAAAAAAAAAAAACTCCCACAAAGATCTCACCTGACCACCTCTGCTAACTACCATGTCAGGTCTCCATTTTTTTTAAATTTATTTATTCTGCCTGCATGTTTGCCTGCAGGCCAGAAGAGGGCACCAGATCTCATTACCGATGGTTATGAGCCACCATGTGGTTGCTGGGATTTGAACTCAGGACCTCTGGAAGAGCAGCCAGTGCCCTTAACTGCTGAGCCATCTCTCCAGCCCCAGTTCTCCATCTTGCTCCTCCTGAATCTCTTAGTGACCTGACACCACTGGTCATTCCCTCCTCCTTGCCAGGCTTGCTACCAGGGCTTCCAGTACCCAGCATTCTTCGGGTCTCCCAGAATTCTCCTGGGTCTCATCTCATCCTATATTGCCTCTCTCATCTCCATCCACTCTGGTCTTTTCTCTTAATTTAGTCAAGGTCACAGGACCTTGCACCTGCTTTTACCTCTGCTTGAAACGTTCCCTGGCCTCTGAAGTCTCAAGTTCAGTATTCCTTTCTGCCTCTGATTCACTAGTGTGGCCCCAAGCCCCGCTCCCTCCCACCTGCTCTCCCCCACACACCCCTCATCACAATATTATTTACATTTAACACCGTCTGTCATTGCTGTGGTTATATGTATACTTGGTCAACCTGGCTGGTGTGTTCCTTTCTATGTCCTAATGCCTGGCACAGTATCCAGCCACTGGTAGATGCTTATTAAACATAAACACATGGGTTAAAGAAACACGGTGTCAGGAACAATATCCAGTGTCTGCATGGTGGTATGACTCCTATAATCCCAGCACTCAGGAAGTGGAGGCAGAAGGATCCAAAGTTTGAGCAGCCTGGGTTACATAATGAGACTGTCTCAAAAACAAAAACTGGGCTGGAGAAATTGTCAGTGGTTAAGAGCACTTTTGCAGAGGAAGGGGGTCGGGATCCCAGCACCTACATGGTGACTCACAACTGTAATTCCCATTCCAGGGGAATCCAGTGCCCCCTTCTGGCCTCTACCAGCATTGCATGCATGTGGTGCACAGACACATGTACAGGCAAACACTTATATACATAAAATAGAAACAAATAAATACATCTTTTTGGACATCTACTTCCTACTTGGAAACTGTTGGATTACTTATTAACAAAGCATACACCCACTTCTCTCTCTCTCTCTCTCTCTCTCTCTCTCTCTCTCTCTCTCTCTCTCTCTCTCTCCCTCTCTCTCTCTCTCTCTCTCTCTCTCTCTCGCTCTCTCTCTCTCTCTCTCTCTCACACACACACACACACACACCAGTTTCCATCACTTAACTAGAGGTAACTTTTTTTTAACTAAGATCAGTATCAGGAACAAACTACCTAAGGCTAGTTTAAGGAAAGCATCCTGGCCTCTAAGCATTAACTCTTCAATTGCTTTTGTACCGTTATGACTGGGCATAAATCATGCAGAGCTAGGAAAGCCCTTAAACCAACAGGTAGGGTCAGCAAGATGGCTCAGCCGGTAAAAGCACTTGCACTTACAGCCAGGCCTGGTGACCGGTTCAATCCCGAGACCTGTAAGGAGAGAACTGACTTCTGCAAGCTGTCCCGTCATCTCCACACACCCCGCACACGCTCACAAATAAACAACATACTAGGAACTTTTCAGAAAGGAAAACGGGTAATTCTCCATAGAATTTACTCCCTTCTGGCAAACTCTGGCTCATCTCCGTGCCATGTCCTTGTTTTTTCTAGCCAGTGAGTAAGACTTCTGGGGGTCAAACTCTGGACTTGATTTATGGACAAGGAGCAAAATGAGCTGCTGTCAAGGAGTTTAGGAAAACATGAGTAGAGAAAGTGGAAGCTAAGGATGCCGTCTAGGAAGGGCGGGTACACCGGATAGAGACCGTTGGATGAACAAGCTGGGTCAGAGGGACCCTTCGGTCCCTACCTCCCACCCAAACCTACCCCTCTTTGAACACGGGGCTTTTCACATGCATTGTTGATCCCACAAGTCTCCCCCATTACACGGAGACCAACTCGGAGAATTCGGTAACTTGACTGGGCACCACACCACCTAAGGAAGGCCAAGGACCCCAAAGCGCACCCTCATCTCAACCCTAGAATGTTGTGGACCCTCTGCTGCTCTCTGGAGCCCCCAGCTGGCCATGGAGGAAATGGGGCTGTGAAGACCACTGTTCCCTCTCAGGTCCGGAGTCAGAGAGTTCCAGCTTTAGCCAGGGAGGCCTGGTCCGGCTGGCTGAAGATCCGGGAGCCGGTATCCTGGACCTCTGCTCTGTGCTCCAATCTCACGGAGAGGTCTGGTGGTGTCTGGGACCCTCACCGCGCAAGCGTGTTCTTCACTGCTTCTGGGCGGGGTGGAGTGGCGAGACCGCGGATCTGGCTCAGCAAAGCAGCAACCCCTTGAGGAAGGAGCACCAGGGGACCTCACTCCCGGTCACCCAGAGGACATAGGGCGGAGAATTGCAAAGGGTGGGAGGGAGAGGAGGTGGGAGAAGTGACGAGGGGAGGAAGCACTGCCCTGCCTGGCGACCTGACCTTCCAGGGCCAACCACTCCCCGGCAGAGCCACAGCAGAGGGACTGTGAGAGAGGTGGGTGACCCCTCTCCAAACAGTCCTCCCCCCTCCCCGTGTCCCTGCTGGAGCGCTACCGGCATTCCAGCGTCCCAAAGCCACTAGCTAAGTCTTGTCTAGGAGGGCTGGGTAGGAGGGAGGTGGCCTGGGCCCCAGGAATCCGAGTCACCGTCCTGAGCTGTCAATCCATACAAATGTCTGGAGCAATTTTTGCGCCCCTGGAAGGCCTGGGTACCCTGGACGCTGCGAGTGGCCATCCCCTCGTGTGTCCGCTGTGCCACGCACAGTACGAGCGCCCATGCCTGCTGGACTGCTTCCACGACTTCTGCGCTGGCTGCCTGCGCGGCCGGGCCACTGACGGCCGCCTGTCTTGTCCGCTGTGCCAGTAAGTGCCCCAAGCCCAGAGAGGGTGAAGTTGGCTCTAGTCCTGGTTGAGAGGCCAAGTGTAGATGGGGAGGTTCCGAGCCTAGGCTGAGGAGGTGGAAACAGTCCGCTGTCATAAGCAGACGTATGGGAACCAAGCCAACCCCCTGTAGCTTAGTCAGGTAAACTGAGGCAGTTAGATGATCGTTACAAGCTTCCCAGAGTCAGGGTGCTAGGGTAGGGCTGGAGAAGAGGTGAGGGCACTCCCAACAACTCCTTTGGAAGGGGTGTGTCCCGGAAATCTTAGGTTAACACAATTTCTAAAATAGCTCAAAATGTTCCAGTGAGATGAGAGGGTCTGCTGGGGTGGCATGGCCTTTCCCAATGCAATATGACAAGAGGCTTACACACCCAGACACACACACACACACACGCACGCACGCACGCACGCACGCACACGCACACGCACGCACGCCCTGAGCAGGGTAGGGCCCTCAGGACAAGCTGGCTGCTGTATTTATAGCAGACCCCACTACCCTGACACTGCTATTTTTAGCTCCTGCCTGGAATGTGAAGGGTAGTGGGGGGGAGCTTCCTGCAAGGGTGTCCAGATCTTGGCTGCAGCCTCTCTGCAGGCACAAGACCCTGGTGAAGGGTCCTAGCGGGCTCCCACCGGTGGACCGGCTGCTGCAGTTCCTGGTGGATAGCTCTGGGGATGGTGTGGAGGCTGTGCACTGTGCCAACTGCGACCTGGAATGCAGCAAGCAGGTGAGGAAGTAAAAGGCGGTGGGTGCCCAACACTTACAGCATGCCCGATGCACAACAAGGATCCAGCAGTGAAGTCTCCAGCCTGGGATCCCTCAGCCTCCAACCATGCCCCCATCATACATATGTGTGGGGAAACCAAGGTCCAGAAAAAAGGATTTGAGCCAATAACCAGATAGTGGCAGAGGCAGAGGCCATTCAATTTAGGAAGAGCTAACTTTAGGGTCCCCAGGTCAGGGTGGAGTTGTGAGCTGTCATGGGAGCAGTGTGGTTCAGTTCACAGGTCCGGGTACCCTTGAGGACCCCCTACTACTTAAGCACGTGTAAGCAGCTAAAGCTAATACTGTGCAGCTGTGAGTAGCTGGAGAGAGAGCAGGGAGCTGAAGGCAAGGCTTCCAGGCCCTGATGCAAAGGCCAGTAGAGGTTTGATGGCAGGAAACTCAGGAGCACACAGCCTCAAACCCACAAGGTGGGAGGCGAGAAACAACTTTCACTCTCATGGTGCAGCACTCACCCACATACACAACTGAATCAGTAGATGTCATTTTTACAATGCTGGGGTTCAGCTGCTGGGGATTGCCGGAAGGAGCTGCATTTCGCCGGACCACTTGCCTGGGATTGATGCGCTCAGTGACACGCGGTGGCTGTGGTTGTATTATTGGGTTCAGTTGAGTTCTAGAACTCTGGCCTGAGCCAGCTCCCGGTCCTCAGGACGCAGAGACCACGTACTTCTGCAACACCTGCGGGCAGCCCCTGTGCGCACGCTGCCGCGAAGAAACGCACCGTGCGCGCATGTTCGCAAGGCATGACATCGTAGCCCTGGGCCAGCGCAGCCGCGACGTGATCCAGAAGTGTAGTGAGTGAGGCACACCGTGGCCAGGGGTGGGGACCCGGCGGGAATGTCTCTAGGCTCTCATCACCGCCCCCACCCCCTCCACAGCGCTCCATTCGGAGCCCTACATCATGTTTTCCACCGACAAGAAGTCGCTGCTGTGCATCCGCTGCTTTCGGGACATGCAGGGGTGGGTAGAGGGAGCAGGCAGGGAGTGGGTGGGGTGTGGATGGAGCGGGTCTTACTGGGTGCCTCTCGACAGGGAGAGCCGGGCCCACTGTGTGGACCTGGAGTCGGCGTATGTTCAAGGTTGCGAACGGCTGGAGCAGGCGGTGCTGGTGAGAGCAGGAATGACTGAGCTGAAGCGGGGTGGGGGTGGGAGCTGTGAGAACCCGCGGGAATGGGGCTGAGACCCTGCTGTCCCCAGGCAGTGAAAGCCCTGCAGACAGCCACCAAAGAGGCCATTGCGCTGCTACAGGCCATGGTGGAGGAGGTGAGGCACAGTGCCGCTGAAGAGGAGGCAGCCATTCAAGCCCTCTTTGGCAGCATGCAGGTGAGGGTGTGGTCAGTAACTTCCCAGGTACCCTCGTGGAGTTTACAGTGTAGTGCCAGGCATTACATCAAACTGGGTTAGCCACAGTTGCCTGGAGAGTTACCAGAGGCTATCCTAGTCTGGTGACACTTAAGGTCAGGCACCTAGGCCCTCAGGCAGTTCCGTGCACGGAGGAGGAAGAAGGCCTTTTGGCCAATGGCAGGGCCCTGTCCTGAGCATGCTGCCTGTGTCCGTGCCCCAAGGCATTACGGTAGGGGATGCCAGAGCCAGGTGTCTCAGTCAGTGATGGGCTCTCTCTCCCAGGACAGGCTGGCTGAGAGGAAAGCCCTGCTGCTGCAGACTGTGCAGAGGTGAGTGATGGCAAGTCCCTGCCCCCTACCTTGATCTCCACACTCCCAGCTCTGAGCCTGAGCCTTGGCTGACCTGGCTCTGCCTTACACGGTGGACAAGACACACAGGTGGCTGCCACCAAAAGTGGTCAGTGTGTTCACAGGGAAGGGACTACAAAGCTGGGGGAGCAGCCATGGTGACTGCCTGCAAGTGTAACTCTTGGAAGGTAGAGGTGGGAGGGTCGGGAGTTCAAGGCTAGCCTGGGCTACAGGAGACTCCGTTTAAACAATCAGAACAAAACAAAACCCAGAGCTGAGGAGATGGTTGTCAGTAAAACCCCGCCACAGAAACACAAAGACACAAAGCACATCCCCAGCACGCAGTGGGCATCCCTGGGGAGGCAGTGACAAGAGGATCCTTGGGGCTCACTGGTCACAGTCTAGCCAACTGGTGACCTCCAAGTTCAGTGAGAGACTGTCTCAAAAAATAAGGTGGTGGGTTATTGAGGAAGATGCCTGATGTAGACCTCTGCCCTCCATATGTACACATATACATGATATACGTGTGCATACGCACGCCGTCACACAGGCACACAAAGGAATATGGACACACACACACACACTTACTCACATACACTCACACACACTCACTAGTGAAGACACGAGGCTGCAGAGCCAAATATCCTCCAGGTGGGGCAGGCACGGCTCCCCTGAGACCAAACAGCCTAGCCTGCCCTTCCCCCAGCCAATATGAAGAAAAGGACAAAGCCTTCAAGGAACAGCTTGCCCACCTGGCCTCCTTGCTGCCCACCCTGCAGGTAAGTGTTGAGGGTGTGTAGGGCTGGACACACACCCACAGTCCAAGCACTGAGCCTGGCACCCTCCTGCAGGTTCACCTGGTCATCTGCTCCTCCTTCCTCAGCTTGGCCAGCAAGGCTGAGTTTCTGGATCTGGGTTATGTGAGTGTCCCCAGCTCCTTCAGGACCCTCTTTCCCCACCTAAAGCCTGTCCTGCATCCTGTCTCACATCACCTGCAGGCCTGATTGGGGGTCTGTAGACTTCTCTCCCCTTCCACTACAAGCCCTTTTGGGGGCAAGTGGATACCTTTTTAAAAGGACAGTGAGCATAAGCCTCCATTCCACCTAACTGCAGTGTCTGCGAGCCTCCCCTCCCTTCTTAAGGATGTGGGCGGTGCCTGTGTATGGACCAGTCCTAGAGGAGGGTTGAGGCCTCTAAGGGAGACAGGTAAAATGAGAGACTAGCCCCAGAGCCTTGAAGTCCTCCACTTCTCTCTCCCGCCCTGCCTGCCACCTCCTTGCCACGCACCCCCGTCCTGAGCCCTTCCCCCGCGGCAGGAGCTGATGGAGAGGCTGCAGGGCATCGTCACGCGGCCGCATCGCCTAAGACCTGCTCAGAGCAGCAAGGTGTGTGGACGCCCTGTCGGGAGTCGGGGCCGGGAAGGGGACAGCGGCTCATGACCCATCTCCGGTCCAGATCGCCAGCGACCACCGCGCAGAATTCGCGCGCTGCCTGGAGCCGCTGCTGCTGCTGGGACCCCGCAGAGCTGTGTCCACCGCTGGCGTCGCCAACACGTGAGCGCCAACCGGGCGGGCGGGCGGGATCACCGGCTCCCGCACCTGCTGAGTCGCAAGCGCACCCAGCTCCGCACTTGATGTCTGGGCCAGGCGACAGTCTGAGAGGGAGGGAGAGACAGGGAACAGCCCTTGAGGGTGCAGGAGACCGGGCGCTCCTCACCTTCTCTACAGTCCCCTCAAGCAGGCTGGGCAGGACACTTTCGGGGTGCCCGTAGTCACTGTGAATCAGAGTTCCCGACCCAGCTGAAAGTCAGGGTTAGAAGTAGTGAAACCAGTATGTGAGACCAAGAAAGACCATTTTTAGTTCAGACCTTGTGTGTCCAGCATGGGAGTGGGCTGCACATCAGTGTGCCCAGATCCAACCTGGGGGGAGCCTTTTAGAAATCACCAAATTAAGTGGGCGCTCTTACCTTGGCCTTGCCTGGGACCCTTGAGAGCTCCCAGTAGTTCTACTCTGCAGCTGGTGGAGGGGACAGTGACTCCCTGAGCAGCCAAGGGGGCTGGGGGAGGGGAAGACCGGCCCTCTCCCCTTTGCAGACTGGCAGGGAGCTCAAGCCCCAAGGTGCTGAAGACACCCAGCTGTCCCTCCCCAGTGGGAAGGATGTCAGGGTCACCCGTCCCAAAACCCTCGCCACATCGTTCCATGAGCACGAAGGTTCTCCTGGCCGAGGGCGAGGACACACCCTTCACAGAGCACTGCCGCCATTACGAGGATTCCTATCGGGTGAGGGGCTGGGCATCTGCACTGAAGTGGGGCCCCGACCCTTCCTCACTGAGATCCACTCCTCCACTGGAGGACCTGGCAGTGTTCTATGTCCTCGCTTACATTCTGCAACAGGGTCTGCAGCTCGAGGTGCAGAACCTCAAGGACCAGGTCCAGGAGTTACACCGAGACCTCACCAAGCACCACTCGCTCATCAAGGCGGAGATCATGGGGGACATCCTGCACAGGTCCCTGCGGTTGGACACACAGATTGCTTCTGAACATGCCTCCATGGAAGGCATGAGAGCAATCTTCCAGGAGGTAACTTGCCCTAGCTCTATCAATTCTCGGCTGCAGAAGGCACATGGCTACCCCAAGACAGGAAAGGGAGAGAGCGTCTGGCGTGGTGCTCTGCCAGACCCTCACGCTGTGGGTTCTGTGCCTGGAGGCTTTCCTCTTGAGAAATGTGGACCAGATTGGTGTGTGTGGCTGTGCAGCTCCCAGAGCAGAATCACTGTCAGTGAGATTACTCCCGCCCACCTCAAACAGCATGCCACTCCTCTCTTTCAGATTTGGGAGGACTCCTACCAACGAGTAGCTACCCAGCAGGAGATTTATGAAGGTGCCTGGCAGCGGCTCTCGGTGTTAATCCACATTGCAGAGGGAGGGTCACCACTAACCATGCCTGCGCATCCCTGCTCCCCCCCCCCCCCAGTGTTTGGCTTGGACCTCACACCTGCTTTGGAGGGCAGGATCCTGTTGAGTGGGATGTCCACACCACATGCTGCTCCTTTTGATCACAGACAGTCATTGGCAGTTGGGATCTCTAGATGGTACCAGGCTTAGGAGCAAGAGTCTAACACCAACAACCTTGGCGTTGGCTTCACAGCCCAGCTCCATGACCTTCTCCAGCTGAAGCAGGAGAATGCCTACCTGACCACCATCACCAAGCAGATCACGCCCTACATCCGCTCCATTGCCAGGGTGAAGGAGCGACTGGAGCCCAGGTGAGAATGTGTGGGAAACGTGCCAGCAGGCCAGGCATGTGCTAGAATCTACAAGTCTGCCAAAGAAGTGGTGGTGTACTCTAGAGGCTGAGGCAGGAGGATTGCCATGAGCCTGAGGATAGGCATCCACGTAGCCAGCACCTTCATCCACTCATGGTTGACCGGCCAGGTCTGGACCAGGCCCTCTCAGGCACCAGAGTGTTGTTATGATCACACCAGACTGGAGGGTACAGGCCTGTTATTTCAGCTATTCATGCCTAGCATGAGTGAGACCCCAGGTTCAGTCAAAGTGACACATGTTCGCTACAGATGTTCTGCTGGGCCCAGGAGCTGGAATTCCAGGTGCCCTACCTGTCTCCTCCCACTTCCTCTCTGTGGTGATCCCATCTTCCAGCCAGAGTGTAAATTAGCTTCTGGAGAGAGGTCTGTGTGGAGGCATCATGGGTCAGAAAATTCCTTTCATTCTACCTCTCACTTGACTGATGATTTGAGTCTTAAATTCTGGACTGGAAATTCTAGACTGGGGACAATTGTGCTTTGAAGGCAGGGGCCTCTATTCCTTCCAGCTTCCAGTCTCCAAGCCAGCCGAGTTCTTCTGATCCCTCACCATGTACTATGACCTACTCACTCTTCTTGGAAGTTTGCCTTGAATTTCACACAGTGAGGTGTTTCCAGTCACTGGGATGGGCAACAGTGGTTTCGCTCAATCTGGAAGTTCCTACCTTTTGGTTTGGGATCTGGCACACTCTGGAAGTTCCTCCCTTTTGGTTTGGGATCTGGCACACTCTGGAAGTTCCTCCCTTTTGGTTTGGGATC